AGCTAGGCTGCTGGACTGACGCTTTCATATGAGACGGAAGAATGCCTCTCAAGGATTGTGGCGAAAAATGAGGAGGATAAGGTGATGACTGGAAAGAAGTTCTGAGAACTGACGAAAGTGGAGTCGTAAAAGTCGTCAAATGTGGATGGCTTAAACTTTCTCTCGATGATAACACAGGTGACTTTGGAGGAGATTCAGCTGGCTTTGACACCTTTATATGTTTGTCAGACTTGGATGACTTGGGAAAGAATGACTTGAGGTGAAATGGAAGCAGCTTTAAAGGGTTGAAAAACCGCTTTCCTTCTTTAGTTTTTGAGTTGTCTGTAGGAGGAATTGGCGGTGAAGAAGGTTTAGATTCTGGCAGCTGAGGGGAAAGAGGACTGGGTGGTCTACGTGGACTTTTTGGAGTTGCAGGACTAAGAGGACGAACGAAGGGTGGTGGTGACACCGAGCGTTGGAATTGGGATGGGAGAGTCATTGTCCTGTGTAGACCTGTTATGCTTCTGAGAATACTAACCTGGGAATGGCCACCTCGGTAGTATATCTGAGGGTTCACAGGAAAGGAGTACCGCGGAGCTTCAGCGCGTATCTGTATGAACTGCACTCAGAAACCAGCAAATGGTGATACGATCCTACCCTGGCATGTCGCTCGTTTATTGCCTCAAGGGCCAGCCTTAGCTTGCGATGCAGAGACTTGCGAGAATCTTCAGAGAGCTGTAGAACAGAAACATTGCAGTTAAAAGCGGTCAATAGCAATGCAAGATCAGAAATTGTTACATCTTCAAGACCTTGCCCTTGCAGATAGTTTGCTCTCTTTTGCAAGAGTTCAACGGCATCCCTGGTCAATCGAGTTTCCTTTTGTAGCTTTAAAAGGACATCCCCCGCATTTCCTGCAATGACTTTGTTACTTATGTACGTCCAACCCAGCTGCATATCAAACCCTTGGAGTTTAAGATGTCCCGGAGAATCTGTACTTTCCACAAATCTTTTTCTTTTATATCTGCCTCGGCACACTGTCCATCTACTTTTTTGAGCAACGCTTCCTTCTCCACGTACGTTTTAGCCAATTCCGTCTGTTACCTACATTAGAATGGAAGTTTCAATAGCAAGTTCGCCAGTGGAAAGAAAAAAACGAGAAGAGAAAAAGAAACTTCACCTTCACAGATTGCGCTTCAAGGCTTTTGATAGATTCAAGTTCTGTCTTATCATTGGGAGACTTGGCCAAAAGATGTCTTAACTCGCCAGCTCTAGCCCACGTTTTGTTGAGATAGCCTTCAAAAAAGATAAAATAAATAAACGAAGCAATAGCCGGGGTGATGCAAAAAAGATTTGCTGTACGAAAAAGAACTTCTGGAGGATCTGATGCATCTTCCAGTCTCCGTATCGCACTTCTCTACAAGAAGTGCAGTACGGAAATTAGAATTTTACACAAAAGAAAAAAAAACAAAGGTACAAACCAGTGATTCAGAAGATGATGTCGAAAGAAAATACTGGTCATGATTCCCAAAGGCAGCATATTCCGGACCGAGCTTTACAACGAGCTTGTGCTTTCGGGAGGCATCACCAGGAACTTCCTCGACTTGACATCCTTCGAGAGCAATGACTCCCAAAGGAGAGCTTCTGTCAAGCTGAAACCATCGCAATCATAATTGGAGGTCGAAAAATAAGGTAAGAACAAACAATACCTCATTCTTGAAAGAGAAGAGAAACGATCCCTGTAAAAGGAAAAATCGTCTCTCCCAAACCCGCGCGTCCTCCTTGTAGACGTCCAAATGCCCCGTCCAGTCGGGCTGCGACCACAATAGGGCCTGGAAATCACACCAGGAAAGAAATGTGGCTTCCACAAACACCAGCAGGTCCTCACTCACCTCCGACTCCATCCGCCGTGAACCATCACAGGCCGGCGCCCAGCTCCACTCGATCTAGGGCCATGGCGTTCGCTCCACGCGATCATAGAACCCTAGCCCAGAGATCCATTGAGCGGCAAAATGAGCGCATATTCTTATTCCCTAAATTCTATCCTAACGGCAAATTTCTAGGGCTCCTGGGCGATGGCATGAAACGCAGCCTGGCGCCGGCTAAGGTAAGAAGATTCCAGCTCAAGGAGGAGAAGGCAGGATCTCGTTTTGATTCTAGCGGCCACTACCGGGATGCCCTTCGCCAATGCCAGGATCTCGAAAGTGTGAGGCAAATCCACGATCGCATCTCTGGCGCTGCTAGTGCCAATGTCTTCCTGGGGAATGAGATCGTCAGGGCCTATGGAAAATGCGGCAGTGTGGCCAGCGCCCGGGTGGCATTCGATGCGATCGCGAGGAAGAACGACTACTCTTGGGGTAGCATGCTTACCGCATATGCTCAGAACGGGCATTACAGGGCCGCCTTGGATCTCTACAAGAGGATGGATCTCCAGCCAAATCCCGTGGTCTATACCACCGTTCTGGGCGCCTGTGCCAGCATCGAAGCTCTCGAGGAGGGAAAAGCGATCCACTCTCGGATTTCTGGGACGAAAGGCTTGAAGCTGGACGTGATCTTGGAGAACTCCTTGCTCACCATGTACGCGAAATGTGGGAGCTTGGAGGATGCCAAGCGCTTGTTCGAGAGAATGTCTGGGAGGAGGAGCGTTTCTTCGTGGAACGCCATGATTGCGGCATACGCTCAAAGCGGGCACTTTGAGGAGGCCATTCGACTCTACGAGGACATGGACGTGGAGCCGAGCGTCCGGACTTTCACCTCGGTGCTGAGCGCCTGCTCCAACTTGGGTCTGCTGGATCAAGGTAGAAAAATCCATGCTTTGATTTCTTCCCGTGGCACGGAGCTTGATCTTTCCTTGCAGAATGCTTTGCTGACGATGTACGCTCGCTGCAAGTGCTTGGACGACGCTGCGAAGATCTTCCAAAGGCTTCCCAGGCGAGACGTTGTTTCCTGGAGCGCGATGATAGCAGCGTTTGCAGAGACCGACCTCTTTGACGAGGCGATAGAGTTCTACTCGAAGATGCAGCTGGAAGGAGTCCGTCCAAACTACTACACCTTCGCCAGCGTTTTGCTCGCTTGTGCAAGTGTGGGAGATCTCCGAGCGGGAAGAGCTGTCCACGACCAGATCCTCGGAAATGGTTACAAGATCACTCTCGTCAATGGGACAGCACTGGTGGACTTGTACACGAGCTACGGCAGCCTTGACGAAGCAAGGAGCTTGTTTGATCAGATAGAGAACAGGGACGAGGGACTTTGGACAGTTTTGATCGGAGGATACTCGAAACAAGGCCACAGAACTGGAGTGTTGGAACTCTACCGAGAGATGAAGAACACCACCAAAGTTCCAGCGACCAAGATCATTTACAGCTGCGTCATCTCGGCCTGCGCGAGCCTGGGGGCCTTTGCTGATGCCAGGCAAGCTCACAGCGACATAGAAGCCGATGGAATGATCTCGGACTTCGTCTTGGCAACATCGCTCGTCAACATGTACAGCCGCTGGGGAAATCTGGAGAGCGCCAGGCAAGTCTTTGACAAGATGAGCTCGAGAGACACTCTAGCCTGGACGACTTTGATTGCAGGCTATGCGAAGCACGGTGAGCACGGACTGGCTCTCGGGCTTTACAAAGAGATGGAGCTCGAAGGCGCCGAGCCGAGCGAGCTAACTTTCATGGTGGTTCTCTACGCCTGCAGCCACGCCGGCCTCCAAGAACAAGGCAAGCAGCTCTTCATTTCGATCCAGAGCGACTACGCCATGCATCCAAACATCGCCCACTACAGCTGCATCATCGATCTCCTCAGCCGCGCTGGACGACTCAGCGACGCGGAGGAGCTCATCAACGCAATGCCGGTGGAACCAAACGACGTGACCTGGAGCTCGCTGCTGGGGGCGTCCAGGATCCACAAAGATGTCAAGCGAGCAACTCACGCAGCCGGACAGATAACTAAGCTCGATCCAGTCGATCCCGCGAGCTACGTCCTCCTCTCCAACGTTCACGCGGTCACTGGGAACTTAGCCGGCATGGCGAGCGTGAGGAACACCATGGTGGCCAGGGGCGTGAAGAAGCGCCGGGGCAGCAGCTGGATCGAGGTGGCGGACCAGATCCACGAGTTTAACGTTGGGGACAATTCTCATCCGCGGTTCCAAGAGATCTTCGCCGAGCTCCAGCGATTGTCTCCCAAGATCAAGGAAGCCGGCTACGTTCCAGAGAGCGAGGAAGTTCTTCACGACGTCGGGGAGAAGGAGAAGGAGCTGCTACTCCGGCTCCACAGCGAGAAGCTCGCCATCGCGTTTGGGTTGATCGCTACTGCTCCAGGGACGACGCTCCGGATCTTCAACACGCTGAGGATCTGCCACGACTGCCACTCGGCCGTGAAGTTCATCTCGGCGATTGCGCGGCGAGAGATCATCGTCAGGGATAGCAGCCGGTTCCACAAGTTTCGCGATGGCCAGTGTTCTTGTGGAGACTACTGGTAATGGATGATGCTATGATCAGTGTCATGGATCATGCGTGAATTCTTAGACCGCGAAGATGCTAGAGAGGAGCGAGAACGGCGCTGGGTCGTGTGGATTCGCGCCAGCGGCGCCAGCGGCAATGCGTTTGCCGCGATCCACATCGGATTGGATCCGGCAAGCGCTAAGCACGGCCTTCCAAGTCATCGCCTCGGGCAAATGCGGCATCGCGTGGAGGAGCTCCTCCGCCTCGCTCAGCCGCCCCGCCCGCGCTAGAGCATCCACCACGCCATGGAGGAAATGGTTGAGGCTCTCCTCCTCTTTCTCCGATCCATCACCGTGGTCTCGAGCAATCGCCACGAATCGCTCGATGCCAATCCCGCCATGGCTGCACGCGAACAGGATCGCCGCCAAGCTCGCCTCGTTGGGCGCAATCCCCTCGAGCTCCATCCCCCGGAAGAAATCCAGCGCGCCACCGCCAAGGCCGCTGCGCGCGTAGCCGGCGATCATCGCGTTCCAGAGCTCCAGATCGCGAAATGGGGCTTTCATCGCGTCGAAGAGCTCGCGCGCCTGGCGGATATGCCCGGCCTGGGCATGCGCGGCCAAGACGGCCACATCGGCATCCACGTGGCGTTCGGGCATTTGCTCCAGCATCTGCTGCGCTTGGGCCACGTGGCCGCGCCAGCCGTACCATTGTATCATGGTGGTCCACGAGAGCACGTCATGTACGGGCATTTTCATAAAGAGCTCCTTTGCGTCCTCCAGATGCCCGGATTGGGTATATGCCGCTAGCAACGTACACCACGCAACCATGTCACGGTAAGGGAATCTCTCAAACAATATTTGGGCTTCTTTTGTTTCTTGGCCCCGAACTAAAGCCTCAAGCATGGCTGTCCAGGATACCAAATCGTGAAGGGGCATTTTTACAAACTGAGCCCTGGCAGCATCAAGATGGCTTTGCCGGGCATACGCAGCGAGCAATTGGGTCCAAAGCTCTAGAGATTTACCATTGTTATGATCAAAGATATCTTTAGCAGACTCAAGCTCTCCGCGCAAAATAAACTCTGTGAGTTGCAGCGTCCAAAACACCTCAAAACTAGAACTAAAACTTGGCTGTGTTAAAATATGCCCACCTTCGGCGTATGCGGCAGTGATAACATTCCACGTACTCGCGTCTATGTACGGGATTGCCTTCAAGAATTTCTTCACCTCGTCCAGCTGACCCGTACGAGCATACGCCGCTAGCACCGGGAGCCACGCCGATGTGTCGTACATGGGCATCTGTGTCAAGTATCCACACGCATATTCCAGATACCCAGCACGGGCATATGCCGAGATCAGCGTTGCCCACGACAAGAGATCCCGGTGGAGCATATTCTTGAACATCGCGATAGTTACGTCAAGGTTCTTGCTTTGCGTGCTCGCCAAAAGAAGCGCATTAAGCGAGAATACGTTGTGCTGCGGCATTTTACCCAGCATCGCAGCCGCGCGAGACAAATCGCCCCTGTGGATCGCCAGCGCCTGGATCGCGATCGCCCACGAGAACACGTCCCTGTGAGGCATCAAGTCGAAGCACTCAAGAACTCTCTCGTGGAATCCATTCTGCGCGTAGCAAGCCAGCATCGCGCCCCACAGCACGAGATCGCGATCATCCTTGGGGATTCCGGCAAACAGCGATTCGCAATCGAGGATGTTCCCAGCCTCGCCGTGGATCTGGATCATCGCGGTGGCGGCAGCAACGTCGTGACAGGGCATTCTCGCGTAGAGCTCCTCGGCGCCGGCGAGAAGCCCGCTCTCGGCAAATGCCGCCACCAAGAAATTCCACGTGGCTGTGCTGCGACGTGGCAGCCTGTCAAACTGCCACTTGGCGCCAGCAAGGCGGCCATCCTTGGCATCCGCTTGGATCACCGCGTTCCACGACACAACGTCTCTGTACGGCATCATCTCCGCCACCTGGCGAGCTTCAGCAAGATGCCTTTCTTGGGCATATACCGAGAAGATACTAGTCCATGAAACAACGTCGCGCTTGGGCATGGAATCAAAGCAGGCCTTTGCCTCGCAAAGATGCCCGTTGTGAGAATATGCCTGGAGCATGATGTTCCACGAAAAGAGATTCCGGCGCTCGCTGGGAATCTCGTTAAATACCAGCTCTGCATCCTGGATGCTGCCACACTTGCCATACATTTCAATGAGGAGATTTGTGAGCCATCTATCTTCTTTGTAAACACTATTTAGAATAAAAGAGTGGAGCTCCCTGCCTTGGAGAAGGTCTCTTGTGTTGCCACAGAGCTTGAGAAGCCGAGAGATCTCCTTGTCAGATAATAGAACGCATCGCATAATTTTGGAAGGTCATGACCAGCAATAATATCGAGGCTCTATATACAAAATGTTATTACGCGTCGTCGTTAGGCTCGTTGTTGGGCTCATCGTTGTTAGGCTCGTCGTTGTTAGGCAAGCAGCGTTTTTGCATGACGTTGATGCATGCCACAGGTTGATCGTCTTTTTTTTCTGTAAGAATCGCAAAGCTGGTAAGAGGACGAAGAAACTACTTAGAGAAGAAGCGTTTCACCTTCATCGTCAAGAGACTTCTTCTTTTGAGGCTGCAGTAAAGCCAAAACTTCGTCTTTAACCTGGATATAAGCTTAGTGTTAGAATCAAAAGAAAGGAGAACGCATTCGCTTTTACCTTCCAGTGATTGTCAGTGTAAGTGGAGATTTCGCGTACTTTCGATGTCAACGTTGATTTTGGAATACCTGGAAATCTTTGCGAGAGAGACTCCACAATCTTTTTCATTCCCAATGTCGAGGACTCTCGCAGGAATCGCACCTACACAGACGAGAAAAAAAAAAGAATCAGTGTCAAGGTCCACAAGGGAATGCAACTTACAATCTCAGGCAGCGCCGAATCGGCTAATTCTCTCTTCCTTCGCCTCCTGACGCCAGTGATTGGTGTCTTCACTTCCTGGGGGTAGGCTTCGTACTCCTCAGTAACAGGCTCGATGGATATATCTTCGGCTAGAACTCGTATCTCTAGCGCTTTAAGACACGAATCCCGATAAGGAGAAACGCTGTCGGAGTCCTGGCTGGTTGGGTTCGCAGTGAAGTTCCGCAGCACAAACGGACAATTGTGCTTGAGAGCGCGCTCGGCAACGCTGTCGAGAATGTTCTTGACATTTTCAGTGTTTGGGGCCTGACTCGACGAGCAGCTGTTTTGATTTTCACAGGTGTCCATGTCCACTCCCTGCTAACAAAAAAAAGTTCACAGTATTTGTAGTGAAGAAAGTAAAAGGGGCACCTCATCTGCCGAGAAGTAGCCATCTGGAACGACAAAGTCATCTGCGCTGTCATCATCGTCCACCTTCTCTTCTTCCTCAGGTTCATCTAAGTCAGAAAGGTTCTCTCCAGGCTCCTCCTAGATACATAAGATACGCTCAGTGATCTGTTAGTACCAGCACAAGGCGAGCTACCTCTTCCCATTCATCGTCGCTATCAACAGTGTAGTCAAGTGATGGTTCTTTCCTCAATGGATGACGAGGGCCGATAACATTGCTGCGCAAGACGATCAACAACTAAGCTACATTCAACAAACTGAAGCTCCAAACCTCTTTTTGGAATGTGTCCCATAGTATGCCGGTCTGAAACACTTGTGAAATTGCAGAAGCTTCATGCAAGGCGTCCCACTGGGTAATGCTGTAGGACTGATCTCGTTAGAAACGTCGACATCTCGCTGGAGCTTTGGCTGCTTGAGCACGTCCACCTTTGGTTCTCTCCTCAAACCCCAAGTCACAAATTTTTTCTGGCGTCGGGAGGTTCTCCACTCATCGAAGTGTCTCCTACAGCAACAGAAGTCGCAAAACAAGTCAGAAGACCATGCAAAACAGATTAATATCACCTGAAAACCTCCACTTCGTTCGTTTCCGTATGAATCGTAGCAAGAACTCGATCCATGGCAGACATTACGACATTTTCCTTGGGAGCCTCCTTCACGGGACTCCTCTCCAATGGCGCTGGAGGTTTCTCTTTAACAAAAAGCTTGTTCATGATCCCAGCTTGTTTTTGGATGACAGCATTTCTTTTCCTCTCGGCTTCTTCTTTGGCTAAGCGTTTTTTTTCTTTCTGCGCTTCCTTCTCCTGATCCATCAAAGGGCAAAGGTAGGATAGATAGACAAAACACAAAAGTCCTTACGTGCTTGAGAGCCTCTCTTTCAGCCCTAGCTTGCTCTTTCTTCGCTAAGTTCTCAGCCCTTTTGGCTCGATGCTCTTCCCGTTCCCTTTCCTTTGCCTGCATTGCCATAGATCACACAAAACATTCGCCCACAAGGAAGAACAATACCAGTCGCTGTGCCTCTTTCAAAGCTTTTGCCTGCTGCTTATCCATGACCTCCACTCTCTCCTCCTGGCATGGCACAAGCACATTAGATGAGGAGATCGCCCCGCATTTCCTATCGAGAGGAGAATCACGAGCACTCACCATCGCGAATAGCGCAGCCCAGGCGCCCGGGAGACCCTAGCCCCAAAGCGCGCCAAATGGAAGCCCTAAATTCGAAGTACTAGGCGGGAGCTTGAAGACATTTGGGGCGTCATGGCGAGCTACTTCGATCTGGATGATATCCTCGCGGAGGAAGAGGTGAGCTCGCTTGCGAAGATTGAGATCTAGATTCATCCCATCGTCTTGCAGCCTGTAGGAGTGCAGTTCCGCGTCGCGGCCGCTGGAGTAGGGATCCTAGATCCGAGCGCGGAAGAAAACCAGGTAAGTGATCGAATTCCTGTGCTTGAAATTCTTTGTTCCTTCGCGAAGGTAGAGGTAGGATCCAAAGTCGAGCTTCCCTTTTGGCTGGCGCAGGAGCTTTGGTACAGCCAAGCCGTGTCGTTAAAACTCCCAAACTTCTACAATGAACGGTACGCTTGTTTACCTTGAGATGTTTCTTTCTTCCTCCTTGTGTTCTTGTTCTTCGCGTTCTTCGGATTCTTTTTTTTTCTTTGAGAACATGAGCGAGAATGCGATTCCTTTTTTTTTTTTCCTGTATAATTGTGTTGTCTTTTACCCCATACTGCTTTCTTCTTCTTCTTTTTAAACATGATAGAGGAAGTAGAATGACATTCTTTTTCTTGTGTGTGTTTTCCTGTATAATTGTGTTGTCTTTTAGTTCTTTTATTTTTGCGTTCATCCTGGAGCTTTTGCGTTGATTATTTCTCGTCGTACTCCTTCCTAACATTTTGATTCCCACAGCATTCGAAAGGAAGTTAAAGCGGATCCCGGATGTGTCGATTTGCGAAGCAGGTGTCCTTACTTCTACGAGCTTGGCTGCAAGTTGGTCCCGCTGTAAGTAGGCTCCATCGCTCGCAAGCGGCAGAATGTGTCCTCATCGTCTCTTTTGTCAGCGCTCAAGATGCGACACTCGGTTCGTTCCTCATGTTTTCCCTCCGCGGCCGCTACAGGGATTTGCTGTGCAAATCACACACTGCCGCCGGTACTGTGACGCCCAAGTTCTTGGCGCGTCTCACGAGAGAAGAAACTCGACGTAAGCATAATTCGCTTTGTATATCACTCCCGAGTTTTCGTCGTTTTTCTTCTCTACAGTGTTTGAGGCTGGCGCGGAGTCCATGAAAGCGTTTAGAAAGTGGCGGCTGGAGGGGACCCGGCTAGAGAAAGCTCCGGTTTTGGGAAAGAAGCGACGTCCTACCAGTGATACGCCGGAAAACACTTGAGCACGAACCAGAACTTTTTCTCTCTCATGTCAGTGGTAACTGTCAACGAAATCCCGTGGTCTGCTTTCCAACGGCCGTGGGAACGGAATGTGCTGAAGCCGCAGAATATACTCGTGGTTTTCCAGCACACACTCGGTTGTGTGAGAACGGTGGCTCTCTTTTCCGGCCAAAGTTTGGTTGAGGGCGTCTGCTGAAGAGCGTCGCGGCTCTTCCAGGCCTAGCAGGGAATCAGGAAAACCAGAGAAACGAGGAAAAGGGAATTCCTCTCGAATGACACTTGGATTCGTCGGATTGTTAGCGGAAGTAGAGGATACCAAACGTCGATACCGGGAACAGGGACAGAGGGCTCAAGTATTTCAAGCACTCCGGGTGGTGTTGCCACAGGGACAGGCCAGTCGTTCAAGCAAAGACAGGAGAAAAATCCTTTTTATTTCCTCCTCTTCTTTTTCTTTCCCTTTGGATGTTGAGGCCAGTGTTGAGTTCTTCATCCGATCCCGCTGTAGGCTGGGTACCCCTCGTCCTCCTCGCGTTTCTGTGGGTTTTCTCGTTTTTGTTTCTCATTTGCCTTCTCTTTGTCAAGAGCTTCTTCGTTGTCCTGTGCGACTTTCTTCCCTCCAGCAGCTTTCCATCTCTGTGCGCCAATCTTACTAGATAGGAGAATGCAAGGTCTTTGAGGTAGCGGCATGCTGCAGCGATGAAACTTAAAGGAGCATCGGCTATCTCTGCAAAATGGATGGTTGTGCTGTGCGTTTCCAGTTTCCTCGTCGGGATGTTGTTTACAAACAGGTAGAGACATTAGAGTTCCTGTGCTAATCAATCAGCTGACGGACTTCCTTGTGGTAGAATGTGGAATATGTCTGAGGACTTTGAAGCTGAAGCACTCAAAGCTCCTGTTAACACTGAGCATTTGCAGCTTGTTACCGAGATACAATGCGATCCAAAACCGGTAAGCTGTCCGGTTTTCCCATCCAGGTGGTGGAATGAAACCAGTTTTGTGTTTTGTGAAGAAACCAGTTACTCCTGAGCGTGAAGTCTACGTTGAGGTATCTAAGACTCATCAAGCTATAAGGTTTGTCTTTGGCACGCTTAGATATCATTTTATTTTATTTTTCTCTCTCCGTCTCTCTCCAGAAACTTGGACAAAACCATTTCTTCCTTGGAAATGGAATTGGCCGCAGTTCGAGCGGCTCAAGCATCGACGATTGGGGGCGGAGCTGCTGAGAAGCCTGCAATGGAGAAAACCGGCGAAGCCAGGCAAAAAGTTTTCGTTGTGATTGGGATCAATACGGCTTTCAGCAGTCGGAAAAGAAGAGATTCCATTCGTGAGACTTGGATGCCTACTGGTACGCTCTTAATTGTTTTCAGTCGCCCTTGAACAATGTTTTCTTACAGGTGAAAAACGGAAGCAGCTAGAACAAGAGAAAGGCATTATCATAAAATTTGTAATTGGTCACAGGTATGCAGTTCTTCTCTATTAATCTTTGTTTATAATAGTGTACATGGTATAGTGCAACGCCTGGAGGGATTCTCGACAACGCTATTGAAGCAGAAGATGCTCAACATGGAGACTTTTTGAGACTGGTACACGCCTTTCTTTTCCTTTTCTCGTCATGCTTTAATGCTGTCGACTTAGGATCACGTTGAAGGCTATCACGAGTTGTCTTCCAAAACTAAAACGTACTTCTCGACGGCAGTCGCTAAGTGGGATGCGGACTATTATGTCAAAGTAGACGACGATGTTCACATAAATCTCGGTAAGCCTGACAAATGAAACGAGCTGCAAGTTTATTCTTTCTCTCTTTATTGTTGTTTCCAGGCATGCTCACTGTCACTCTGGCTCGGCATAGATCCAAGCCTCGCGCCTACATTGGATGTATGAAGTCTGGACCTGTCCTGGCTCAAAAGTAAGAGCTCTGTTACCGTGAATGCTAAGCTCCAAGTTTGTGATTATTCAGAGGAGTGAAGTATCACGAACCCGAGTATTGGAAATTCGGCGAAGACGGCAATCGGTACTTTAGGCACGCCACTGGCCAAGTTTATGCGATTTCCAGGGACTTGGCAACGTACATCTCCATAAACCAGTACGTATAGTCCTTACCAAGTTTTAGTTTCTAATCTAGAAAGCTCCTTTCTTTTCCAGGCCTATTTTGCATAAGTATGCGAACGAGGATGTTTCTCTGGGCTCCTGGTTCATAGGCCTGGACGTGGATCATATTGACGATCGTAGTTTTTGTTGTGGAACTCCTCCAGGTACTAGTCAAAGTTCTTGCCATTGTTTTACGCTGTCCTATAATTCTTTTCTGGACAGATTGTGAGTGGAAAGCTCAAGCAGGGAGTGTTTGTGTTGGATCCTTCGATTGGACGTGTAGCGGGATTTGTAGATCAGTCGAGAGGCTCGGCTTTGTTCATCAGCGCTGCGGAGAGGGGGATAGTGCTGTGTGGAACGCAGTTTTATAGCGATGGAAGAAGAAAGTTGATATCGTGCTGTAGAATCCATAGGGCCGGCAAAGTTTTGTAACATATCACCGCATTAATTTCTAGGAAATAACAAAGCTGACGGTGCTTTTAATTGCAAAAATCTCGAGAGAGCTTTTGAGCAGCATGAAGATTCGATTGACCACGAGGAGGCGGCGTTCCCGCAATGTTGGAAAAAGATTTGCTCCCCCTGGTATGAAAACAAAAGGATCCAACCCAGACCATTCAATGCTTGGTCTTCTTCTTGGTCAGTGAGAGGCTCCCGTGTTTTGCAAAAGAAATAAAAACAGAGAAACTTGTGACATGTGAAACGCGCAGGGTAAACTACACCGAGGGAGTAGCATAGTTTATTAGCCAATTATATGTTGAGAACGACAACGTTGCAAAAAGATATGAGCGAAACAATTAGCTTATGTATATAAAGCCTATACTTAGAATCAAATTCAACAAATACAAGTTTAAATAAAAATTAAAGCATATTTAAAATATCCTAGCTTAAGCTTTGGAGAAACCATGTCAGAAACAACATTCATGAAGCTACTTACCCTCGTGCTGCTGCTCTCATACTTACTACAGCAGAGTCCTGGCCGACTTCTTGCACAGAAGCACTGTCACAACAGGAAGCCCTTGGAGATCACCTGAAGGAACCTTTGGATTTGGATTCGTAATGCCTGAGTCTTCAAGCACCCGGAACTTCAATCTCGCGATCTGGTATGACATAGATCCGAAGAAGACTGTCGTCTGGATGGCAATGGCAAACGGGCAGCTTGTCCAGGTGAGTGAAAATGCCAAGCTTGAGTTGAAAGCCGAGGGAGGACTTTCCGTCACTGATGGCAGCAGCTCCGCCCCCTTGTGGCAAACCAATCCCGGACAGTGTTGTGCTGAAAGTGCTTCGCTGCTCGAGAACGGGAACTTAGTTGTCCTTGGAAAAGACAAGAAAGTTGCATGGCAGAGCTTTGACTCCCCAACAAACAACCTTTTGCCCGAGCAGCAGCTCCGCACACAAGGAAATCCGTCCTTGGGATACGCGAGGTTGATTTCCCAGTCTGGAGCATGCTTGTTCTCAACAGTGGTCAGGTGCTGCTCAAGAACTTAAAGCTGGAGATCCCGCAAAAGTACTGGTCTATTGCAAATCCGACACTGAAGTCCACCATGACTTGCCTGGATGACGAAACCGGAGAGCACGTCTCGAACAACAACGCTTGCCAGCCTGATCGTTCTCTCAAGTTCCCGGGCGTTTTGAACTTGAGCTCTCAAGGGGTCCTTTCCTTTTACGACGCAACTGGAAAGAGCTGGGAATGAGGATCAACGAGTTCAGAAGACTACGCGCTTGACTAAAACGATGCGAATGTGTTGAGGAGACTTACGCTGGACGACGATGGCAATCTCAGGATCTACAGCTTCGGCCCGAAGAACAAGAGTGGCTCCTGGAGCGTCGTCTGGCGAGCCGTCATGCTCGAGTGCGACATCTTTGGAACATGTGGACCTTTCGCTCTCTGCACCTACAGGCCCATAAAAACTTGGAGCTGTCCTCCTGGATTTCACTGAGTTGATCCAAACGACGAATCGAAGGGGTGTGACTACGACATACCTCTGGGAGCGTGTCAAAACTCCCTGATCTCGGTGAAGCTCGTCCAGGTGAATCGAGCAGACTACTACTTCAACGATTACAACTTCGACTCGACCATCAAGTTGCTCGTGAAGTGCAAGGACACCTGCATGCAAGACTGTAAGTGCCTGGCAACCGCATACAAGTACGACGGCACGGGCTTGTGCTTCCTCAAAGGCAACTCCAACAAACTCTACAATGGTAAGCAGATCTTGAACGAGATGAACATGGTGTTTATGAAGTCGTCTTCATAGCATCCTGGAGCTGGCGATACGTGAGCTTGGTCAGGAACCCCTCAATCTCTGCTGTCATCTCCTCCCATTTCTTGCGGGAGGTTTCTTCCACACAGCTGCCACGACTGCAGCTCCAGTGGCAAACAGCCCGAGCTAGATAATGGCCACGGACAGAATGATGGAGTGGAGGTGCCGCGAGAGGTCAACTGTCCGTGTGTTTATCTTTGGCATGACTTGGTCCGTGGTGTTTGCATCCACGAGGAAGGGATCGTGCTGGTCGTCGGCTGCAGATGTGTCCAGGCTCAACTTCTGCAACGAGTTAGGCTTGGGAGGATTTGTGAGCATGTATAGAGGAAACATGGCCATGAAGAACATCATCACCCAAGAGGGGGGATGGGTAGTTTTTGAATTGAGCTTAAGTTAATGAAAGTCAAAAGAAGGAGCTGCAATCTCTTCGTCTGCATATGCTTATTTAGATTATTGGTTCAACACTAACTAATCTTTTAGCTTACAAAGAAAGAAAAATATCTATTAAACAACATAATTAATATTAAAATCAGAATATATTCAGTCTTTTTTTCTTCCATATTCAGAAAAATAGAAATGGGTATAATGAGATGCTCCTTCATTATAGACTCGTATTGCATATAATGTTGTGCCATGCATTCAACATAATAAGTAAGTGGAATTGACTTTAGTCCATATGATCATGCATATCATCAGGATCAAATATATGGACTGAAACACCATGTGTGACAAATGTGGATCTAATGACATAGAAACATTTAATAAATTACTTTAACCACTAACATCACCTATCACAAAATCTCCCAAGAATATCCTCAAAGGCACCCTTCTTCTCAAGTGCAAAAACAATTTAGCTTATCTCTTTTGCTACTTGCACTATTGACTTGAATCTTTCTGTAGCATCAAACATAATCCCCTTTAGTAGACAAAATAACTCTAACAAAATTTATATGGCTATGACCGAATAGTGTCAATAGCAAAGGAATGCTGAGTGAAGAACCTCCAAGTCAATCACATTTGGGATGATGTCTGTAGAGCTATTGTATCCTGGTAAAGCAAGAGTAGTACACTCGTTAGCTCATGTGGCCTTATGGCAGTTCCCAACGTGGTATAGAGCATGGTAGTTCTAGGAATAAACATGGAAAAAAAAAAAGAATAGAGTTAAACTGTAAATAAAGAAGTCATGCACCTTTTGCTTTTGCCCACTAGTGCCTTTTGTATTCACTAGTATACTTGAAAGAAGGCAGCCAGATAAAAACTCTATAAATCCATTATTGTTTTCAGTCAAGTGTGCAAGAAGGCCTTCCCATAGTAGAGAGCGGGGAAGGATCATGACAACCACATAAACCTATAAGGTTTGGAAAAGTGTTAGGCTTGCAACACATTCCATGATGGAGTATTCTTATGTGGTGGTGGCATCCTATCAAGAAGATAAAAAAAGATGAAATCAATCTTCTTATAAGATATGAGCTAATTTAGGCTATGGATCCACCAATCAAGTATGTAGAGCTCCTAACTAGTAACATCTAAAAGTTGCATGTAATCCCCAATAAGAACAACAACTTCCCCAACACTAGCCATTTGGGATAGAGGGTGAACTTGAAACACAATTATTAGAACTAGTAGTTGGAGATAAAATTCATGCTTACTAATCTGTTTGTGAATAGTTGCAAAGGAGAGCTCTTCCAAATAGTCATCTGTAGCCATAGGGAGGGATGGGAAGAATGTCTTAGTCCTCTAAAAAGACTAGTGGCTACTTTTTGCAACATTTATAAAAAAAAGTGAAGTCAAGAATGACTAAAAAAATGTTCCAAATCAAAGTCCTTACTCTCATGAAAGGCTTCATGATGGCCCTTTTGGTGGTTGTGAGGAGCAGGTATTGGAATTTTTTGTGCTAGAATCTCTTGTACAATTTCCTCTAGTTCAATGGTATTTGAATTTAGCATCTCCTTAATGGTTTCCTGAGTGTGGATTCCTGGGTTTTGTTGTTAAACTTTAACAACATCGTCATCATGGTTAGAAAGAGCCTTTGGAAAATAAAAATATAACTCAAGGTTAATATTTTCTAGTTAAACATTGAGTTTCAAGTGAACTTAAATGACATTTGAGGTAGAGATTCAGCTCAAAGTCCAATGTTAGCATCTACTCTAAAAGTTCAAGGTACCATAGGCATAACTCCCTCTCATGTGTACAAGGATAATAGAACTCTAGCTCATACATCCCAAGTTTCTTGCCTCTAATCAAGAGCTTTTGCAAAACACCAGCTATGTATATGGGTGCACCAGGGCAATATTTTAAATATCTACAAAGTAAAAAAATATATATAAATACCAATATATAAATGAAAATTGAGAAAATAACTATAATTATGTGCCTCGCAAGAAATGGTTGTCCTAGTTGGTTCTTGAACTCAGCTGATCTTGTCCCACTATGAGGAAGCCAATTATTCCTGTAACTCCGCAAAACAAGCATAAATATATTCTTTGAGAGTGATACTTGTGCAAGTGCTGGAAAGAAACTTTTTGTCCCAGACTTGCAACATCTCCTCACTAGTGGCAATACTCTAAGAAATATATGCCTTCTCCTTCATCACCTTTTCCATCCTTGTCTCGCAGCATTTTTCGTTATTTTGCAGCCAAGTGTTGAGAATTTCCAAGTAGATGCTTTATTCAGCAAAAGACATTTTACTCTTAAAGATGTTGTAAATGAGCTCCTTCGGTGCTTTACATGTTCCTACATACATAAGAATTATGAAATGTTTCATAAATTTTAAAAGAACTTATGAATGCAAGAATAAATCTTAGCAATGCTATCAAACCATTCCTACCCGTGTTATATATCTGCAATTAAGAGCAATTTTTTCACCTTTGTTCTCTTTATATTCAAATTTGTTGCTCAATTGCAAGCCATTCCATCTCCTTCTGTTACTCATCCCCTTGGGCATTTTTAAAGAATGAGGCTCTTTTTCCTTTGATTATGGACTACAACAAAAATTATGTAAGTCAATGCATACTTCAATATTAATTTAACTTCACCTAGATAGCAACCAAAAAATCAAGTGGTAGTTGGTACCAAGTATGCAATTCTTAGCGTTTCCTAGCTGCTAGCTTCACTTGAATTGTTTCAAATACCTCACGATGTACAATGTTTTGACCTCGTCTAGTGAGAGCATGCCAATAAACCAAAAGTGCTCAATATCATGTACCAATGTATTAGTTTAAAACA